ACCTCTCCAGCTACCAGGCCACCCTCCATATTGTGGTCTGGGGGATTTGAACCGGCGACCCTCCGGTTCCCAAGCCAAGTCCCTACACACTGAGTGGACACCTTTTTTATCATTTAGTAAACTGCTGACTCTTGACTCAGTGACATATATTATATATATTTCATATTATATTCAAAACTGTACAATAAACCCAAATAGTGAACTCAGTAACTGCAAGAATGTTGAGTAAAACAAGTGATTTGATTATGTATTTTTAAATTATATATATGTTATTTTTAACAAACTTACGAGGCTTATTTTTGTACAATTTCAGTGTTTTCTTGTCCCTGACGCCAGGCCCTTGTTCTATTATGTAATTAACTTAACTTTTCTTGGCAGAAGTGAACCAAATGCTGAAATATAGGCCTACTGTATATTTACTTGAGTTTTCTTGCATGCTTTAAAATCAAGAAGGCCTTGCGACCCCGCCATGATGCTTTGGCGACCCTTAGTGGTGGTCCAAACCCCCAGGTTGGGAACTACTACCAGGGCGCTTCACCACATTTTTATCCACTGGGCAGGCACCCTAGACCTGGAGCATGCTTTCAACTGGTGGGGCATGACCAAAAAGTGGGTCACGTAGTGTAAGGACATTTTATTTTATTTTAAATGTTTAGTTATCTGATGTCGGACTATTTTGACAGAAATATGTCTGTTAAGTGAAAACAGCCGAACCCTAACCGTTCTGTAGGTCTTTCACTTCTTGTGTGTAACAGAGTTATGCAATTATGGTGTTAATTTTATTCATATTCATAAGAATCAGCAGCACACAGTTATGATGTCCATTTATTGTTAATGTGTTCTGATATCCGGGAAGAAAATATGTTGACTATTTTATGTAAAGAAAAAAGATGATGTATATGTGTATTTACTAGCCATATGTCTGCTCTGTGTGCATACACATATGCTTCTGAATTGCCAATCAGCAATTTATGTGGGTTTATTTTATATGGGATGAATATATTTGTATATTTTATGTTTTTAAAAAGGTCATGATGACATATATGTGTTTACTAGCCTATCTGAAAAATAAATGAATTTTATAAAAGTGGGCTGTGACTTCAGTAACCATCAGTAAATGTGGGTCTCAAGGTGAGACCAATGGAGAACCAGACCCCTAGAGGGCACTTCATCATGTTTTCTCCACTGGAAGGGCATCCTAGACCTGGAGTATGCTTTCCCAACTGGTGGGGCGTGACCCAAAAGTGGGCCACGTCGTGTGAGGACAAAAAAAAAAAAATCTATTTTTAATGTTTGATTATTTCTGTCAAAATAGTCAGACAAGGGAACCCTAGACCTAGATAGAGCATGCCATGGGGCAGTAGTAGCAATATCACAACATAAAAACATTCAATTACAAGTTAAAGTCTTGCATTCACCTAAGTAAAATACACATATCAGCAAACTGTAGCCTACAAAAAATGAAATGAAATGACTTCCTATGCAGGCAGATTTGCTGTAAGTGTTATATTATTAGAATTAATAATTATTATTATTAATGTGTAAGCAACCTTTTAATTTTTTTGTGATTATTTCTAGTTTATTTAATTTGTAACAATGGGTCATATGTTATAAAATGATTGTGTGTTTTGTATTTAAAATATTAACCAGGAACATAACAAGTAACTGTTGCTGTGAAATAAATGCAGTGCAGCAAAACGCTTGATTTCCTTTCTAAACTGGAGTGAAGCAGATTATTAAAGCAGCATATATTTGCACACTGATCTTTTCATGACAAGTGAGATGCATTCACCCTAATATTAACACTACTGTTTTGCGTAATGCAGCATATTGCTCATATACATCTCATATATCCTGTAATCCAAAGAAGCTACGCATATAATTACTGTAAGCTTATCTTTTGTTGCACTGTTACAGTAATGTCATAAAGTTTAAAACGGCAGTACCAACAAACAACATAAATAAAGTTTAAATACATTTAAGGTAAATGAATAATAATCCAATGGGAGGTAAAGTTGTGTTTATTTGTATTTATACAGAAACATCTGGAAGCCTTCTTAATCATTTTACTTTAAAAGTTGAGTTGACAAAAAAAACATAAATAGGTTATTATCTAAAACAAGTCTTGTTTCCATATTGTTAAAAATATATAAACAATATGAAGTCACTGGAGCATCCCATCATTACACAGCAGCAGGTAATCCCTCACAGAGCTGGGAATGTCCAGTTCACTGACTGCTGAGTAACACCGGGCTCCGAGGTTCAGGCGTAAAGCACATCGACAGAGATGCTGCAGAGAGCGAGGCTGACCGCTCCGCTGACGCACCAAGTCAAAGAAAGACCGGTGCTCCTGAGGGAGGGAGGGAGGGAGGGGGGACAAACAGAGAAACACTATAAAGCACTGGACACTACACAAGAAGAGAAGAAAGGGGGTTGAACACTGCAGACAGCTCACCTCATATATCTCAGTGGACAGAGAGTCCATCCACTCGCAGGGAGGGACAGATGTGTACGTGTTCAGCATCACCTCCAGAGTGGCAGCAGAGAGGACACACTGCTTCAACATCTGGAGAGAGGAAAGAACAGTGGCACATCTGTCCCATTCATACAATCCAACTTCTACATTAATCTCAAACTACATTAGAAGAGAAAAGAGGACAGATTTTAGGGGTTAATCCTTCTATGTCTGAGTTGATTATTTATATTTCTTTTCATGTTTGGTATTATAATCATTTCTTGGCCTCATATTGTATTATTAGATTATTTACATGATATTTCCTTGAACAATTTTCCATTATTTTAACATTTGTCTTTATTATTATTGTATTGAAATATTGGCCGGATGTTATGTAACATTAGACTATTTACTTAAAGGTTTCCCTTGAAATATTAACTTGTATTTTGTAGAATATTATATAATATAAGACAATTTACTCAATATTTCAGTAACTGGTTAATTCAAACCTATTTTTTTTCTTTATTAAGGTTATTTAGATATTTCCAGTTTGGATATGAGACTTGGACTGGGTATTGATTCTATCTGCCTCCCCTATTACCTGTTTGAACATTTCTTGGTAATAAAAATACATTACAAAATATATTTAACATTTGTTTCTTTTTTTCTTTGTACATTTTAAACCTTTCTTCATACGTTTCTACATATGTGGTGTAATTAACTATTGTGTGTGTCAGTTGGCTCCTCTTATGATTGGTTGCTACAGCCTGTGGCTTCCATATAAAGATGTTCTTATTTCATTTTTGTGACGAAAAGTACACGACCAAAACCTTTTATCTCTAATAACCTCGGTGCAGGTAATGTGTTGAAATCTATTTCCCCTCTAATAGTGTTTCCCTCCCGTCTCCACGGTTGGGGTCAGGTTAGGTTATGTTTAGTCATAGCTTATGATAATTGGTTGGGTTCAGGCTGAGGTAAGACACAATACAGAAATTCAACTGATTATTTTACCATTTACAAGAAAACAACACATTTTTCATGTATCAGAATCACATTCTCTCAGTCTGGTTGTTTGTTATCTAACCTTTGGGCAAACAGGTTTAGCTCCATGGTTCAGAAGTGACCGTGCTATTGCTTCTGGTTCCTGGTCTGGGTAATCTTCAACCACCTTAAAGAACAAGCAGAAAGTGCCACAAAAAAATATCTCTACCAGATCAATCAGTCTTTATGATTCTAATGTTTGTTGTTTCACTCAAACTAACCAACCCGCTCATGAGCTACCTGTAACAGACAGTCCATTGGTGTGTATCCTGCACAGTTGGCCACATCTGCCTTGGCTCCATGCTGCAGGAGGAGGTCTACAATCCGGGGGCTGCAGTTTGCACAGGCATTGTGCAGGGGGGTGTGCTGCTTCCTGCCGGCAGTTCTGGGGTCAGCTCCTCCGCCCAGCAGCTTTTCAATCACACGTAAATAGCGGCCGGCCTCAGAGGGCCTCTCGGCACCGCAGGACGCAGCATTCAGAGGGGTCTCCCCCTCTCGATTTGTGGCCAGCACATCTGCTCCGTGGCTGAGGAAGAGCTCCACGTGCTCCACCAGGCCTCGCCGAGCGGCCACGTGCAGAGGTGTGAGCCTGGACTCCTTCATCCTCACATTGACCTCTGCACCGCCCTCTAACAGAAGCTCAGCACATCTGGAACAAAAAGGCACAAATTCTGATCACACTATGCTACAGAGTCAATATCTGCATTGTAAAAGTATTTTCTCTCTAACATTTAAATAAAATACAAGCAGGTTACTGCTACGGTGGTAATTTGGTAAGTTCTTGAAGGAAATTACATCTTTTCTCTCAAAATCTCAACATTCTTGAAAAGCCATTTGCCTTATTATAAGAAAATTAGGTTTTTATAATAAGACCTTTATTACTACACTAGGAGGAAATTACTTTAAAGATGAACATTTTTGCACTGTAAGAGGAGATTAAGATGAAACTCAACTTCAGTTATCCCAGTGGTAAAACTGGAGCTGATAGAGAACTGCTTACTGATGGTAATATATAGTACGAATGGTTCGTTATCACTCACTGGAATGACTGGGCAGATGTGCAGAGGTGAAGAGGAGCGCTGCCGTCTGCTGCCAGCAGATCAGGCTCTGCTCCATGAGAGAGCAGCAGCTGGACACACACAGCATGGCCGCCTATACAGGCATCATGGAGGGCCGTGCTTCCTCCGGGGTCATCGTTCACCTCAGCCCCACGAAACAGCAGCTCCTCCACGCATCCTGTGTGTCCTCTGCTGGCAGCCAGGCGTAACGCTGAAGTTTGCTTCACCTTGGAGCTCAGCGTCCACATGCCTGACGGAGGAACAGTAAGGC